AACAGAAATGTATATGTCCCTTCTCCAGTTTGGCAGTCTCCCTGTAGCACCCCCTACTGGTGGAGCTAGCATGCAGTCAGCTGGCAAAGCAGAAAGTTTGCACAAACCTAGGCCCAACCTCCTAATGCCAGGCATAGAAGGGTGATTCTGAAGCTGAGACAACTTAATCATTGGCACAGACCACCCCTCTAGCCACCTCTCTAGCTACTCAGCATCCATGCACATCGTTCTGCATATTTCAATGTCTTCCCCTACAACTAAACAAGTGTTTCCATCTAAAAAGATGTAACTATCACTCATTCAGAGGATGTTTTCTCACCTTCTTCCCACACTGGTGAATAGGAAATAAGGAACCAGGTAATATGTACAAAAGTATACACATAAAAAGCAAGGAAGAAAACATGTATAGCTATAACAGTTCTCATTACCATCTACACAGATAGCATCTGTGTGCCAGACATTGAGAAATGAGTATCCTACTTTCAAGATTTAAGTCAAGTGGATGCACAGATAAGTAAGTAGAACTGTGTGTAAATTTTGCAGTGACCATGTTTCTTTCTTTCTTTCTTTCTTTCTTTCTTTCTTTCTTTCTTTCTTTCTTTCTTTCTTTCTTTCTTTCTTTTCTTTCTTTCTTTTCTTTCTTTCTTTCTTTCTTCTTTCTTCTTTCTTCCTTTCTTCCTTTCTTCCTTCCTTCCTTCCTTCCTTCCTTCCTTCCTTCCTTCCTTCCTTCCTTCCTTCCTTCCTTCTTTCTTTCTTTCTTTCTTTCTTTCTTTCTTTCTTTCTGTCTCTCTCTCTCTTCCCTCCCCCAGGCTGGAGTGCAGTGGCATGCTCACAACCACCGCAGGCTCTGCCCACTGGGCTCAGGCAATCCTTCTGCGTCAACTTCCCAAGTAGCTGGAACTATAGGCGCATGCCACCATGCCCGTCTAATTTTTTTATTTTTGTAGAGATGAGGTCTCACCAGGTTGCCCAGGCTGTTCTTGAACCTCTGGGTTCAGGCAATTCTCTTGCCTCCGCCTTCCAAAGTGCTAGGATTTCAGGTGTGAGCCACCGTGCCCAGCGACCATGTGTATTTCTTTTTCTTTCTTTTTTTTTTTTTTTGAGTTGGAGTCTCCCTCTGTTGCCCAGACTGGAGTGCAGTGGCCGCTTCTGGCCACCACAGCCTCGACCTGCTGGGCTCCGGTGATCCTTCCACCTCAGCCTTCCAGGTAGCTGGAATTACAGGCATGTGCTACCACGCCCGACTGATTTTTTGATTTATTGTAGAGATGAGGTCTCGCTGCCCAGGCGGGTCTCGAACCCACGGGTTCAGGCAATCCACTCACCTCAGCCTCCCAAAGGCGCAGGATTACAGGCTGAGCCACCGAGCCCGGCTGACCATGTGTATTTCAAGGGAAGAAGGGAAAGCTTCCGCGAGAGGTCTTACTTATTGTCTCTAGGATCAAATCTGCAGTGAACATGGCGTGAGGGGGAGCTCAGCAGTTTGGGAGTAGAAGGTGTGAAAGGGGTTGGTATGCAGGAGTGAGAAGAAATGAGGTTGAGGACAAGGAGAAGTAACATATTTAAGAGCCTCACATACAAAATGAAAAACTTCTATAGGTTTGTCCTAAAGTCAAAGGGGAACCATCACGGGATTAAGTAGAAAAGTTTCCAGCTTTATTCTGATATTTAGAGGAAACTTCATTCTATAAAAAAATCCAGATTACCTCAATTTGGCAAATACAAACTATGGACTGGAGTTTCAAGGTCATTATGGGAGCAAAAAGTAGAAGGGTTAAAAAGGCTCACAAATAGCCGGGCTCAGTGGCTCAGCCTGTAATCCCAAGCCTTTGGGAGGCTGAGATGAGTAGATTGCCTGAGCCCGTGGGTTTGAGACCCGCCTGGGCAGCGAGACCTCATCTCTACAATAAATCAAAAAATCAGCCGGGTGTGGTAGCGCATGCCTGTAATTCCGGCTACTTGGAAGGCTGAGGCAGAAGGATCACCGGAGCCCAGCAGGTCAAGGCTGGGTGGCCAGGAGCGGCCACTGCACTCCAGTCTGGGCGACAGAGTGAGACTCCACCTCAAAAAAAAAAAAAAAAAAAAAGGCTCACAAATGATACAGGTGCCTGATGCATGCAGTAGATACATCCAAAAGGATAAGAAGTAAAGAAATTGCATTTGGTCAGGAGGCCCATTAACAGTTGAAGTTGACTTTCTGAAAATAGAGTTGAGATTCACAGTCCTTTGAGAGGAAGGGAATATGAAAAGGCAGGGGGTTCAGGAATCCACCCATTTTAGAAGTTTAATCCTGGCTGAGCTCGGTGGCTCAGCCTATAATCCCAGCACTTTGGGAGGCCAAGGTGAGTGGATTGCTTGAGCCCTCGAGTTCGGGACCCGCCCAGGCAACTTGGAGAGACCTCGTCTCTACAAATAAAAAATTAGCCGGGTGTGGTAGCTCACACCTGTAGTTCCGGCTACTTGGAAGGCTGAGGTGGAAGGATCACTGGAGTCCAGCAGGGCAAGGCTGCGGTGGCCCAGAGTCTGAGTGACAGAGTGAGACTCCAACTCAAAAAAATAAGGTTTAATTCTGAAAGGATTATGAGATGGTCATCAGAGGGCTACAGGGCCATATGGAAGTGATTTCCTTTTTTCTCAGATGAGATATGAACAATTTATAAAGGAAAGGGCCCTCTAGGGAGAAGGGGAGGATGCAAAGAATGAATGTCAGTGTGCCCCTTACGTCAGAGCTTAATCTCACCACCTGATGCTTTTAATGTAGGTAAATAGCCACTTGATTTAGAATAAATTGTCTGAAATTTAAAAAATAATTATTAGCCTGAAATCAGAAGAGTGTGTATAGGAGATTTATGTATCATGTTGCCAGAAGACAAAACTGGGACCCACTGAAACTAATCAAAGCATACAGAATAAAGGTGTTATATTTATTTGTTAAGGCTGCTGTAACAAATTACTACAAACTGGGTGGCATAAAGCAACAGAACATTTGTTCTCTTATGGTCCTGGAGACAAAAAGTAAAAAATCAAGAAGTCAGCTGGGTTTGTTCCTTCCAGAAGTTCTGAGGAAGAACCCGTTCCATGCCCCTCTCCTAGCTTCTGGTGGGTGGTGGCAATTCTTGGCTTTCCTTGGCTTGGAGGTGCATCAGTCCAATCTCTACCTACATCTTCACTTCATCTTCTCCTCTGTGTCTCTGGATCTCAAAATTTCCCGTATCTTTCTTTCATAAAGATGTCTGTCATTGGATTTAAGACCTCCCTAAATCCAAGATGATCTCATCTTAAGATCTTAAATTAATTATTACTACAGAGACTCTTTTCCCAAATAAAATTGCATTCAAATATTCAGGACATTAAATGAGGTTAGCACTTGGACATGTTATTTGGGGGGTTACTACAGGTATATAATAAAGCATCTCTGTGGCAAGAATGCAGCTTCTCAGGTGAGATTCATCAGTGTAGTGTTGAGAAACTCTGGCTTGGGGCCAGTCTGGTTTAGAAACCTGGTTCTACCTCTTAGCAGGTGTGTAGTTTTAACATCTCTGTGCCTTGACTTTCTCTCTGAAACATGAAATACTCACAGGGCTACTATGAATTTTTTAGAGTTAATACAAATAAAAGGTTAATAGTGCCTGGTGCCCAACTAAGTCTTGAATTACCTACGGCTTTGAGTCTTCTACTAAGAAAGACTTTCAGCAGCAAAACAGTTTGTTTATGTAGCTGCCAACTAGTCAGGTGTCTTTGAGCAATATTAACTACTAAATCTCCAAGTAAAACAATTCAGACAACCTTAACCATACATAGATTGTATGCATGCATTTAAAAACTGTTAAGATTATAAAAAATATTAAAAACTCAAAGGTGGAGGAATTTAAGTATTGACCTCTCGGAAAACGTGAGATCTGTGAAGCAAGCTAAGTGCAATTTGAGCTGAGTAAAAACTTGAAACTCGTTTTATATTCTTTAAATATCTAAAAAGCAGCATATATTCCCATGCAGTGGGCTTGGTCCTTCAATGAAAAAGCTCACATAAATGGGTGATTTAGGCAAAGAATGAAGAGGGCTTTTTTTTGGTGGAGAAGTGTACCATTCATAGGTGGTCTTAACAGGCTTATGGAACAATGGATGGCTTTTCTTCGCCTTTGGTCTTCAGTCAATGTAGAAAATTAATCCTCTCATTCTAGCTCTCTCTAGAACTATGTAGAAAACGTTGACTCCTGGGAGGTGAAAGAAACTTTTGAAACCTTAGATCGCTTTTCATGTTTACAACAGCTGCGTTTTCTTGTTTTTCCTACTGTGATGCATGGGGAAAGGACTTTTTGCAACCACTGTTTGAAGGATGGTAATGCAAAATAATAGCACAAAAGTATTTCTACTCAATAAATTGCACAACTGGTACTCCATACATTCATTCCTTTTCCAACACATGTAAATGTTAACAACAAACATGGAAATCTTTTAAAGCATTGTGCTTGAATAGCCCTGGAGAGCATATGCAGAATATTTTTTAAAAACAGTTGTCCATGTAAATAAGATAAAATGTAAAACTCTACTGTTGTTTCTGCCTTTAAAGTTAGGTGATTTTGTGAAGAACTGAAATCTACAATGCCCAATTTCAGACCAGTTGCAATCTTATCAGGCTCAGCATTCAATTTATTTCTATTTTGCTATGAAACCTAGCAAGTTTTTTGATCCTATCTTTAGTACTAGATTTTTATGCCAAAGTTCTAATGCAAACTGCCGAGCTAGATAATCATTAAATGTTACTAGATATCTAGTGCTTAAAGCAAAACCTATTAAGCACACATGTTCCATTTTGGAAACTACAAAGGAAATGGCCTACCCACTCCCCCGCTTTCAGAGTTCAGTCCAATAGAGGAGGAGAAGGAACAAAATGAATCTAAAGAACTACAAGAGAAAGTCACTAGTTGTAGGGCTGTTATGGCAGAAAGTCTAGGTTTGCTGCGTTCTGGTCTCACTATGTCTCTAAACTCTGCCTACAGGTGTCTGTGGTAGGTTATGTTTATTTGAGACGACTCCATTGGAGATCGCCTGGTATCACCAAGTGTCCACCGGTGCTGGGGTTTGCTGCCGGATTTCTTGCCATGTCTAACGAAGTGGAAACAAGCACAACCAATGGTCAGCCTGACCAACAGGCTGCATCAAAAGCTCCATCGAAGAAGGAAAAGAAGAAAGGTATGGAGAGATTCTCTTGAGGCCCATGAAGAAAGTGAGAGGTGGTTACCTCTGGACAAATGTGAGATTCAGGGTAAAGCGAGGCCAGGTGTGGTGGCTTATGCCTGTAATCCTAGCGCTTAGGGAGGCCAAGGCAGGAGGATCATTTGAGCCTGAGAGATCAAGATCAGCCTAGGCAATGTAGCAAGACCCTGTCTTTACAAAAGAAATAAAAAGTTAGCCAGACATGGTGGCATGTGCCTGTAGTCCCATTACTTGGAGGGGATGAAGAGGGTGGATCCCTTCAGCCCAGGAGGTTAAGATTGCAGTGAGTCATGATGGTGTCATTGCACTCCAGCCTGGGCAACAGAATGAGACCCCAATTCAATATATATATAACAGAGTAAAACGAGAGGTGTCTCTTGCCTTGCTTCAACCTCAGCTTAATCTCAAGTTCTCTTAAACAGGAAAGCTGTACTTTGTTAGAAAAGATTGGTTCACCATGCAGGAAGTAAGACACATCTCTGAATCTGTGATTGACCCAACTTAGATCCTGCTGGGAAACTCTCACAGCATCTCGATTAGTTAATAATACAACTGTCAATTATTATATGACTATCTTTCAGTAATCTATTTACCACTTTGCTTTACTAAAGCCACTGTTTAAAAAAAAAATTTTATTAGACCCTCTTCTATGGACTTGAAGTAACACTGGAAAGTGCTAGAGTCCTTAATCATTCAAAGCTTGAGAATATGCCATGACTTGCTTATCTTTCACTATTATACTTTAATTCTGGTCATGAGATAGAACAGGCCATTTAAGAGAAGCTCAGGGCCAGGTGTGGTGGCTCAAGCCTGTAATCCCAGCACTTTGAGAGGCCGAGGCAAGAGGGTTGCCTACGCTCAGGGTTCGAGACCAGCCTGGGCAACTGGTGAGACCTCGTCTCTAAAAATAAATAAAAAAATAAGCCAGGCGTGGTAGCGTGCACCTATAGCTCCAGCTACTTGGAAGGCTGAGGCAGAAGGATCGCCTGAGCCTAGCAGGTTGAGGCTGCAGTGGCCGTGAGTGTGCCACTGCACTCCAGCCTGGGTGTCAGAGTGAGACTCTGACTCAAAAAAGAAAGAAAGAAAGAAAGAGAAGCAAAGGAGGCTACAAACATGGGATAATTCTTACCTTAATAATTTTTAAAAGAATTTGCCCATAATTCCTTTCTGCCTTATCAATGTTAGTAAATTGCATGATGGCTTATTTCTCTTTCATTAAAAATATGTATATTACCCTCTTTACATTCTTGCAAAGCCTTAAGAAAGGCACGGTGAAGAGTATCCTCAACTCCTACCTCACATATTCCTATGTTACCCATAATTCAGTCACTTTTGCACTTCTAAGAGTTTAATTTCTGCCAGGCCTAACTCCATACACAGTGCATAGTGAAGCATGATTTTTCTCGAAGTAAGAATAAGACCGTGTAGAGCACTGCACATATGATCAATTATAGTGAAATTGGGGTTTATACTACTTAAATTTTGTAGATTCTGGAGCAAACTTGGTCATGACTAGGACTGGTATTTAAATATAAACTTTATCCTGTATTTCTTTCTTTTCTCAGGCTCTGAAAAGACAGATGACTATCTCTTGGCTAGGTTTAAAGGTGATGGTGTAAAATACAAGGCCAAACTGATTGGCATTGATGATGTGCCAGATGCAAGAGGGGATAAGATGAGCCAAGATTCTATGATGAAACTAAAGGTAAGAGGGGAAAAGATGCTTTGTCTGAATACTAAGCAAAAATACCTTAGAGAGAATCCTATTAGAAGCTCTTGTTGACCTAAATTTCAATTATTTGAGAAACTCTTCTAAGCACATAATTATCTAGTAGTGCCTTATTTTTTTTTCTGAGAAGCCATGAATGTGTTTGCATATTTTTTTTTTTTTTTTAGAAAGTAGGCTTTATTGAGAGAACAGAAAATCTCCCACAGTGGGAGAAGACTGAAGGGGTTGCCCATGTTTGCATATTTCAAGTGCTGTGCTAGAGACCAAATTTAACCAAGTGTAACAAGACTCTAGATGCCTTTCCCTTTTGGCAGACTCAGCATTTGGTTGAACCAAGCCTATCCCTACCATTTCCCTCCTTATATGATTCTAAATGCTGTGTCCTAATGTGTATATTATTTGTCACACTATATGTGGAGAACATGGAATATCTTATCTTAGACCCAGTGAGGGTCTGGTAAAATTTAGGATTCTAAATGGAAATGAATGTTTCTTAGTTTTAGCCTTTCTGTTTTTTTTTTTTAATTTTAAAATTTAGCCAGGCTTGGTGACTCAGCCTATAATCCTGCGCTTTGGGAGGCTGAGGTGAGTGGATTGCCTGAGCCCGTGGGTTCAAGACCCGCCTGGGCAACTTGGCAAGACCTCATCTCTACAATAAGTCAAAAATTAGCCGGGCATGGTAGCGCATGCCTGTAGTTCCAGCTACTTGGAAGGCTGAGGCGGAAGGATCGTCAGAGCCCAGCAGGTGAGGCTGTGGTGGCCGGGAGTATCCGGGAGTATCCACTGCACTCCAGCCTGGGCGACAGAGTGAGACTCCAACTCAAAAATAAAATTTTTTTTTTAATTTAGTACTCTGTCACTAAATGACACTAATTAAATAAATAATGCAAAACCTAGAAGAAACATCTTTAAAGAACTTCCAGTTCAGTTTCCTTACCTTTACCGATGACTATGACAAGGGTACGATAATTACACTTGACCAAGTTTGCATAGCCAACTAAAGGGTGCCCTGGCTCATGTCTTTCATGTCATCTTTCAGTGCAAATTCATTCATAGATGTCAAACCAAGCTGAAAACAAAGCTCATTGTCTTTTAAAATTTTAGTGTTAAAAGCAGTGTAGGGTGTTTTAATTAGATTTTTCTTATTTTCCCAACCTCATCAGGGAATGGCGGCAGCTGGTCGGTCTCAGGGACAACACAAACAAAGGATCTGGGTCAACATTTCCTTATCTGGGATAAAAATAATTGATGAGAAAACTGGGGTAAGAATTCATGCTCACTGATACCTATCTGATCACATGAGTATGACCAACAGTTTTTGCTACTTGAATTTTGACTTCCCTTTTTCCTTCTCAAATTTCTGTAGGGGAAAATATATATATATATTTATGTTACTTCTCTAGAAGTAGCAGGCAGAAAACAGAATAGGAGGTAAGGAGTCGAGATAATTTATTTTGAAATGTATTTCCTATAATAAATATGAATCTAAGTCTATAAACACAGGTATGCCATAAATATCATTTGGGTATTTTTGGACCACAGGTATGCAGGAGGAATGAGATTAATCTTTTTTGTTTGGTCTGGTTTGGTTGTTTTTTGTGTCAGAGTCTCACTCTGTCACTCAGGCTAGAGTGCAGTGGCACTATCAGCTCACTGCAGCCTCACTTCCTGGGCTTAGGTGATCCTTCTACTACAGCCTTTCAAGTAGCTAGAACTACAGGTACATGCCACCATGCCTGTCTAATTTTTTGATTTTTTTTTTAGAGACAAGTTCTCACTGTGTGTGCAAGCTAGTCTCGAACTCCTGGGTTCAAGCAACCCTTTTGCCTCAGCCTCCCAAAGTGCTGGGATTACAGGCATAAGTCACTGTGTCTGGCCTAGATTAATCTTAACCCCTGGTTTGTGACACTTTTATAGGTCTATGCATGTCCTTTATTTTATTTTAATATATTGATTACATGTGAACTTACCAGCTAAACTGAAGCTAGAACATTGTTCATAACACATCCAGTTTATTTTTTTCATCTTTCTTTCCCTGTCTCCTCACCCCACAAATATATTCTTGCTCATTTTTTGTGGTTGCTGCTGTTCTATATCACATGAACAGTCTTGCTTGCTTTCTTTTGTTTTTGAGTCTTTTTGTAAAGCTGTCATATTTCAAGTCATCTGAAATTTTTTTTTCTTTACTCAGTGTACCATCATAAGGCTCATTCATTTAAAAATGTTATTTGTAGCTCATTTTCATTGTTGTAAAATATTCTATTTTATCCAGGTATTGTGAGGAGAACTTCAGTTATTGTTCATCCCTTCCTAGAGATACCCATTATCATACAAAATTTACCTGTGAGACCCAGAGCCCTGGCACCTGCTGCATCCTCACTCAGCCTGCTGGTTCTTAGGTCCTCAGGAACTGCTGTCTCCACCATTCTCCCTTATCTCTCGACTCTCATTTTCCCAAACCCAGTAGTGAATGGCAGCAGATTTCTCTCACAAGTTTCTCTCTCTCCTCAAATTTTCTTCTTTTCTTTTCTTTTTTTTTTTTTTGAGTTGGAGTCTTATTCCATTGTCCAGACTAGAGTACAGCTCACGGCCACCCCAGCATCAATATGCTGAGCTCCGGCCATCCTTCCGCCTCAGCCTTTCAAGTAGCCGATACTACAGGCGCGCGCTAAAATGCCCAGCTAATTTTTGACCCATTGTAGAGACAAGGGCTCGCCAAGTTGCCAGGGCTGATCTTGAACCCATGGGCTCAGGCAGTCCTCTCGCCTCAGCCTCCCAAAGTGCTGGGATTACAGGCTGAGCCACTTAGACCAGCCCTCAAACTTTCAAAGATACTCAATGTAAACATTTCAATAGGCATTTGGAAACAAGCCAAGACACACTCTGCTACCTATAAATATCTCTAAAGAGTTTAACCCTGCTACCTATTTGAAAGGATCAAGAGAAATGGGAGAAAAGAGATGGGAAGACACTAGTAAGCTAATAAAGTCGCTGCCCCAGGTAGCTCCTGGACAGTGACATAGACTGTCTATGTGAAGTTGAGAAATACCAGATGACAGCGTTTGGTCACTGCCGGAATATACTGAAGATACTTGATCCAATAACACATAGGATGGTTCCTTGGCCATTCTGAGTCATCATCAGAGAAACCCTGAGAAACACTCCTCTAGCTTAATTATGCTGTTCACTTCAGTTTGTCTCTGAGTTGGGAAAGTAGACCTACTTGGGCCTGTTTAAGGGTTATATGTTCCCTCTTCACTTTAGAAATTCTTGGTCTCCTAATCCTGAGTTCTTCCTTGCTGTGTGGCATCACATCATTGGAGTAGGGAGAATCAGATATTAATATTTTAAGAAGGGACATTCTTTTCACTTTTGCTTCCTGTTTTTTTCTTTTGGAGCCCTCTTTTAAGCAGGGATAATGTTCCAGCCTTCGACCAGAGACTAAAAGCCTGTCCTTAAATAGCTAAAGACTAAAAGTTTTACTTTTCATATATGCCTTCATATATGATGCTCAGCTGTGATAACCTGAAAATGGATTCCAGCTTTCTCAACAAATCATTATTTGTATTCCTTTTTAAGGTAATAGAGCATGAACATCCAGTAAATAAGATTTCTTTCATTGCCCGAGATGTGACAGACAACCGGGCATTTGGTTACGTGTGTGGAGGAGAAGGACAACATCAGTTTTTTGCCATAAAAACAGGGCAACAGGTGAGCTTAGTAAGTCTTGACATATACTTGGGGACTTGTCCTCTGTTGTGGGCATAGGGCTGTCTGTCACTCAACTAGAAAACTTGCTAGGAACAATTGGATGTAGAAGGGCTAAATAATGATTCAGAGAATTACTATCTGTATTAACCTAAGGAATATTTAAAAATCATTGATACCCATGTAGTGCATGGCACAAGGATTGTTAAGAATGGACTTTCTTATAAGGTCAGTGCTGATTTTAAAACCACAGTGAATTCATGTCAGAAACTTTGAAGGGACTTGGTACCTCTTGTTTGGCCATGGCTCCTCTTATTTTCTCTAATTACTTATTAACCCTGTTCTCCTTTATGAACCTAATGTTGGAGGTTGGGGTGATGGAATCCCCTACAATCCGGGGGAAGGTAGCAAGGAATTTTTTTAAAAAGACTAACCAGAACAGATGGGGGATAAAGGGAAGAAAATATGAAGATTAAAATGCTGATAACAATGCTTTGCCTTGATTCAGGCTGAACCATTGGTTGTTGATCTTAAAGACCTTTTTCAAGTTATCTATAATGTAAAGAAAAAGGAAGAAGAAAAGAAAAAGGTAAGTGCTACCTGATAAAGGGTCTAATGAACTTAAAACTATATTCAGGACCGTGATTCTTGATATGTATGCATAGGGCTTGTCTGAAGAATTAATGTCTTTGTGACTCTTCAAAAAATAAAAAGTATAGAAATGTATTATGTGCTCTTCCCAATATAGCAATGGATGGATGTTGTGGTTAGACACTTTGGATTTTCAGTCCCTGGCTTTTATTTTGTATTCCTATAAGCTTCATTTGGACTCTAGGAAATATGCAGAGCAACCAAGTTTAAATCCAGTAGCTCTATTCAAATTTAGTATTGATAAGAAAAGGGGAGAGGAATATAAGGCAGAAATATTATGCAACACCCACTCTTGCCTTATGCCTGTGAACCCATAGGTACGTTTGTTCTTTTAACTCTTTTTGGCTACAAATACTAAGATCACTGAATTTGTATCTTTCTTTTTAGACAGAAGAAGCCAACAAAGCAGTCGAGGTAAAACTGTATTTTTATTTCTTGTGAACTGAGTGTGTGATGTGTATAAGCCCCTTCTTTTTTTGCTAACTGCCCAAGCACTCTCCCTGCCTAGCTTATTACTACTCTGTGTTGATGGCCTCTCTGGTCATGGACACTATATGGTTAAATGATCAGTGCCAAGATCATAACTACTTAGCAGTAGGCAATAAATTTTATAGGGAAAACTCAGCAACTAAACCCTTAAATATTTGCCATCTTTTCAGAATGGGAACGAGAACCTACTGACTCTTGATGACCAAGCTAATAAACTGAAATTGGTATGTATGTGACATTTAACAATTCTTACTTATCTGAATACGGGTTCTACTTTCTGTAGATGTTGCTAATGCCGAATCTGTATTGAATCTGTATGAAAAACCAATTGCAGCAACTATTTTCCTAAACAGTAGTGTAACATTAATGTCAATATGCAAAGCAATCTTTTTAGTAGACACACCTGAATCTAATTGAAACACTTTTTAAGGGTGTGGACCAGATGGATTTGTTTGGGGACATGTCGACACTTCCTGACCTAAATAGCTTAATAACAAATCGGTAAAATGAAAATCCAACTGTGACAACTGTTTTCCTAAACTTGTTTAGGAAACAAACAATTACAACAATATACAAAGTAATCTTTTTTAGTAGACACATCTGAATCTAATCCAAATACTTTTTTAAGGGTGTTGACCAGATGGATTTGTTTGGGGACATGTCTACACCTCCTGACCTAAATAGTCCAACAGTAAGTGTTTGTTTTTAAATTTGCAATGTAATAAAAATGGCATCTATAACTCAAATTGGCAATTAACCAGAAATCTTGAACATCTCATTGAAACTTGCAAAGTGACTGCTGATTTTTGCCCATGAAGTGTAAATGACTTTTAGAATAGATTTGAATCTAAAGTAACTGTGGGAACCTATCGGCGCTAATTCAGATATCTTAATGTTGCTTAGAGGTTAAAACTGAGCAATAGGTCAGGCAATGTAGCCTCCTTGGTATCACTTAGGATCAGAAGGCGGAGCTTGAATAATAGTCCTTGACATAAGCTTACCTGAAGGAAAGTAGAATTGTTAGATGATTACTCACAAGGCCTCCTGGCCTCTTCATTTATTTCCTTCCCACTCTGTGGGTTGCAATTTAGCAGAATAAGTTTGGTGTGAAGTAAGACTTAAAACAAATAAGAGGTTCACTTATGTTTAACCAAAGCCTGTCCTTGTTAGAAAATTGTTCATTCTTTATAGGATTTTATAGTATATTAAGTTTTTTCAATATTGATTGATCTGTAACAATGTTATGAGAATGGATTTCCTTTACAGATAAGAAAATAGTGGTTCAGAAAAAAAAAAAATACTGATTTACCAGGAAAGAGGTCCTTATCAAGGCTTAAGCCCAAGTCTTTCAGACCTTCCAAAACAAGCCTTTAAAAAAAAAAAAATCCTTGTAATTTGAAAGACTTCTTACAACTTCTTTGATGTATTTAATAGTTTCTTGAGTACTACAGCAGTGAGAAAGATGCCCCAAATCAATGACATTATGGAATTTACTGTCTAACAGGGTGACCAACATTAAAACTAATCACAATGCCTGTTAATTGATGTTGCTTACAGAATATTTGTCTAGTTTAGAAGTTCAGATCATGATAAAGTAAGTTTCTAGATTTGATTATGAAAGATGAGAAGGCAATTATGAGACAAAAAGAGAGTTAGTCTAAAAATAATGGGGGAAATGTCTAGTTAGGAATCTCTTACATCAGAAAATCATCAAGGAAACCTACATGACCAAGAAGGACACAGGAATTCAACTAGCAGACCAAAGATTGGGTAAGATTCTGACTTCCTGGAGTACTGCAGAGAATGCCAGGCCCGTAACTTCTCACTGCAGAAAACTTCCAGATCAAATGAGATGGAGAGGAACAAAGGGTTCCTGCACTCTTCTCTGACCTCAACAAATGAGAATCACAATGCGTTGTGGCATTTTAAAGTCCCTAAAAAGTCTATAATAAAGAAAGTTTAGTATTCTTTTTAGCAGCAAATCCTAACTCACCTGTCTATAAAATTTTTCTTTCTTCATAATGATCATTATTATTCTAAGGATAAACATTTTGAAATATTAAATTAAAAGACCCTGAGAGGTCCATCATAGCTCTGAGATCCTTTTGATTCCTGGGCAACTTTGTTCTCGCCTCCATTAGTGGCCTCTTCCCCAGAGTAAATCAGTATCTAAATGACCTACTTCCCAAGTATAACTGACATTCAAACAAGTACTTGAAAGAGAGCAAAGCACTCAAGATATGAAATGGAATTCCAATAATATAGGCAAGGAAGCACCGACTAATCTGCTTGTGTAGACTTCTAGAAAGTTCTAAAAAGGAAATGAAAAGCAACATTGGTATTCTTGAGCTTCATTTTTATTAGACTTCAAGCAGTCTAAGAATTTTTGATTTCTAGAAATTCAACTTTCAGTTAAACTAACAATAAATTAAAGTAATAAATACCATCAAAAATAGGTGATCTCTGAAAATTAGGAGAAAGCTAAGAGGGCTGAGTATGTGCTGGTTAGACTTTACACCATGTTCTTAAATATTGACTCAGTATTCACAGGTTACAAAATATATTTATTTCTGATTTCTAAACCCAGCATATTTTCAAATATTCAACCCTTGTAAAACCAGCATATTTAAAAATATTCAACTTTTTTTTTAACAATTGCTCTAAAAGATGTATAGGCAGAAAGAAATGTAAATTACCTAGACTTTATTAGTGGTTCCAGGTGGCTATTACTCCCCCCAAATTTATACAGAAAAGAGTGACATCCCCTAGAACATAAATTGTATTGGAAAACCACTTGCTACATACTGCATCTGAAGAACAAAAAGAGAAGAAAAACATAAAAAGACAAGTTCTCTAACTTTAAAAATTTGACCACTTGAAAGCACTGTTATTATATGAAGAACATAAGGCAAAATCTTCCATCAAGGAAATTAAATCTGGTACAAGGAATGGAATCTGAGTACAAAGTACAAGTGTCGTGTACACCCTTGCATACACTCCACATGATTCCATGGGGTGGACCCAGAGGAAGTGGAAATAGAAACATCAGTGGGAAAGGACTTTGTAAGGAATCTGAATTTGGGTCTTTGAAGTGTTTAGGAAAAGAGACAGTAGTAATGCTAGAAACAAATTGGGTCCTATTGTGGATCCTTTTGAAAGTTGGCCTAAGCCGGGCTCGGTGGCTCAGCCTGTAATCCCGCGCCTTTGGGAGGCGGAGGTGAGTGGATTGCCTGAGCCTGCGGGTCTGAGACCCGCCTGGGCAGCGAGACCTCATCTCTACAATAAATCAAAAAATCAGCCGGGCCTGGTAGCGCATGCCTGTAATTCCGGCTACTGGAAGGCTGAGGCGGAAGGATCGCTGGAACCCAGCAGGTCGAAGTTGCGGTGGCCGGGAGCGGCCACTGCACTCCAGTCTGGGCGACAGAGTGAGACTCCAACTCAAAAAAAAAAAGAAAGTTGGCCTAAGGAAGCTTATTTTAATACAGGGAGCAGTCCAAAGCCACCCAAAGCTTCGAGTAGGGAAGTCCTCGATTTAGCAAACTGGAATGGGTAAGTGAGATCAGCTATCCAGAGAAGAGATAAGCTATGGAACTCAGTATTTTAAACTTTGTCTTTGTGCAGGCTCCCCTTTGATTGCCTGCATGGCCCCCTTACTGAAGCCCCTTAAGATCAGGGACTGCCACTCACTTTCATGTCTCCAGAGCCTGCCACTCAGGAGTGGATACATCTTTGACAGCCAAACAGAGAGTTAATGAAGTTCTGGCCAAGGGGTGGATGCAGAGTCTTAAGTTTTTCAGTTATAGTCTATGAACTTCATTCTTAATATTGGATTAACAACAAACCCAACCTGAGGAGAGCCTTATACATTTTACTTATAGGGTAACTATTCAGAAGTCTAACATTGTGGCTCCTGTTTGGTGACCTAAGAACTTCTTCTGAAGTATTTGAAAAAGGAGAACTCTACCAGCTGTGAACACCCAACTGTTCTAACCCAGAGGTGGCTCTAATTAAATGAATAAATATTGAAATCACAAGCTTTTGCAATCCATTTTATCCTACCTTTTGATTGTATAAAGATCCCTACATTAAGAGATCTTAATTTTGATTTTAAAAGTTTTTTGATTAAAAAAAGATTTTTTAAAAATTATAAACTCTTTCTTGTGCCCAATTCTTCTTATAAAGAGAAAACCTGGCTTTTACAATTTGTGTTTTTATACTTCACAGTAAAGGAAGCCAATACATAGTTAGAATACCATTTATGTCTGATTCCGCTGTCCCTTCTATGGCCATGACATAGGACCTAAACTTTATAAAGGTTTGGTGTTTTTCTCTAAAAGTCAAGGAGGCCTATTTGAGCCCTTTTTCTACTTACTAGTTTGAAAATTCTCTTGAAGTTGTTGTTTTCCTAATGATCAAAATACTGGTATTCTGCCCAGAGTAATGTTAGACATCTACTCTAACCTCCACTTCAGGTAGACATTTTTTATTGTTTATATGCTTTTCTGGCTAGTATAATTAAGTAGTATTTAATGGATCAAAGTCAGTCAAAAGGAAGGGCTGTCAGTATGGAAGCTGCATCCTAGGGTGAATCATAATTAATTATGTCATTAACTGAAATAAAGACATATCAGATTCATCAAATTTGCTGCTTTTATGCTGAGAAGAAGTTTTTATCTAATAATTGAAAACCCCAGAAATTAACATATCAGAGAAATGATTAAACAGGAATAGAATTAGTAGAGCTATGCATTTGATATGTCTTTTAAATTAACTCTTAAACTCACATCTCTGTCTTATACAGTAGTCCCCTTTATCTTCAATTTAACTTTCCACGGTTTCAGTTACTCACAATCTCAATCAGAAAATAAATGAGTACTGTACCTTTGAGTAAGATATTCTGTGAGACCATATTCACATAATTTTTATTACAGTAATTGTTATAATTGTTTTATTTTATTATGTTATTGCTGTTAATCTCTTATTGCATCTAATTTATAAATTAAACCTATCTTGGCCAGGCTTGGTGGCTCAGCCTGTAATCCTAGTGCTTTGGGAGACTGAGGTGAGTGCATTGCCTGAGCCCGCAGGTTCGAGACCTGCCTGGGCAACTTGGCGAGACCTCATCTCTACAATAAAAATTTTAAAAAAAATTAGCCGGGCGTGGTAGCGCGCACCTGTAGTTCTAGCTACTTGGAAGGCTGAGGCGGAAGGATCGCCGGAGCCCAGCAGGTCGAAGTTGTAGTGGCTGGGAGTGGCCACTGCACTCCAGTCTGGGTGACAGAGTGAGACTCCAACTGAAAAGAAAAAAAAAAATTAAACTTATCTTATGTATGTATTTATGGAGAAAAATACTAGATGTAGAATTTGATACTATCTACGGTTTCAAGAATCCACTGGGGGACTACTGTATATAAACTAAACATTAGTTATTGGTTGACTTTAAGCACTAGCTAGATGAAATATTGTCACAATACAGGCAACTCTAAGCAATGTTATGAAAAGATGTACAAGTATGAGAGCTTAATAGGTAATATATTAGATTGGTATTTTGGGTGTTGTTTTCATAGGACATAGACAAAAAGCGTATGCCCATAGGAGAAGCTAGGATGATGTGGATGAGAGTCCTGCTTGACTATCACCTTCAACAAGAGCCTTTAATAGGTAAAGAGGCATACCTGAAGGCTGTGATATAGAGGAAAATCATTTTTGCCTAGAGGAGAGAACTGAGCCAATTTTAGGACAATATATTTGACCTTAAACTTTATCACAATCAGAACTATAAATATGAACATATTTGCCAATGAATTTGCTCATTTGGAGAGGTAATGCTACATGAATCTGGGGGTATCTCAGAAGGGATTATATGTGCATCAAGTAGGAAGTGGGGCTAGCCTTCTGAGGTCACTTACTTTCAAGCTCAACATACTTTGGTAGTCATTTAGAGTGACTCCCAATCAATTCCCTTTAAGACTCAAAATCACAAATTGAAACAATGCTGAAAATGAACTCAGACAGTCTGAACCAGTGTGAACCAGGGTAAGCAGAGACATGAAGTAAGCAACAGTCAGATTTTACTTAATGAAGTTAAAATTTTACTTAATGAAGTTAAGACTGAAATAAAAGGGCATGAGGTCTGGGAGAGTTAGGGAAGACCTAGTCTACAGAGAGAGAGTAATGGAGTCAGGAGTTAATAGAAGGTAATAGTCAACCGGTTTGTCAAGACCCAGTTCTAATGGAAATTTGAATAATCCTGGTCATCTTATATAGTTTTCTCATTTGGAGTCACAGCATTGACTAACACTTTCTTTTTTTTTTTTTTTCTTTCCAAATGTGATAGGAAAGCAAAGATATCCTGTTAGTGGATCTAAACTCTGAAATCGACACCAATCAGAATTCTTTAAGAGAAAATCCATTCTTAACAAATGGCATCACCTCCTGCTCTCTTCCTCGACCAAAGCCTCAGGCATCCTTCTTGCCTGAAAATGCCTTTTCTGCCAATCTCAACTTCTTTCCCACCCCTAATCCTGATCCTTTCCGTGATGATCCTTTCGCACAGCCAGACCAATCGACACCCTCTTCGTTTGATTCTCTCAAATCTCCAGATCAGAAGAAAGAGAATTTGAGTAGCTTGTCTACTCCACTGAGTAATGGGCCCCTGAATGGTGATGTTGATTACTTTGGTCAGCAATTTGACCAGATCTCTAACCGGACTGGCAAACAGGAAGCCCAGGCAGGCCCGTGGCCCTTTTCCAGTTCGCAAACCCAGCCAGCAGTGAGAACTCAAAATGGGGTATCTGAAAGAGAACAGAACGGCTTCCATGTCAAATCCTCCCCGAACCCTTTTGTGGGAAGCCCTCCCAAAGGACTGTCCGTACCGAATGGCGTAAAGCAGGACTTGGAAAGCTCTGTCCAGTCCTCATCACATGACTCCATAGCCATTATCCCACCTCCACAAAGTACCAAACCAGGAAGAGGCAGAAGGACTGCTAAGGTGAATTGTCTTCTCCACATATCCATTAGCAGAGTGCATGCTCGGTACCAAAGGGTGGTGTGATGCGAGCTCTCTTTCCTGCTGTTCTCGTAGTTTCCTGTGTGGCTGTGATATAGAAGGTGGGATAAGGCACATCGGTTCTCCAGGAATACTTTCCTCTAATCGCCACCTTTTAAAGCTTCTCAGCAGTGTTTGTCACACCCTGCTTTCCGTTTGCATGTCTTGTCACTTACGATCAAACTAAACACAAGTTTTTCCATTTTTAATGCTGCTATGCTTCTGTGCCTCTGGTAAGTTTGATCGTCGTGTTCTGGGATGGGAGGGTAAGAGTTCTTGTGATTCCCTTTGGACTTTCCCCACACTAACACACGCCTTACACTGTACTGCACTGTCCGAGGTGGTAGTGTAAGATTCTCGAGCTTGTCTCTTTTAAATGCTGACTGAATAACCCATTGTCTTAGAAGAAATTTATGTGTTTACTATTACCCCTACTATGACCAGCTTCATTCTAAAGCATCTTAAAATGCAGTTTCTTTTAAAAGCTCTCATAGGCATATGCAGGCTTGTCTAATGACTTAAGACTGTGTTTTCTCTATAGATAGAGATATAGATAGGCTGATTTAAATACAATGAAATGATCAAAAATATTTAGCATACTTATTTATAGTTTCCCACTTTTTTCTCCCTGGCTTCAAGCTTTCAGCTGATAAAGAGACCAGACCAGTACAAATGTATAAATAAGCACATTATAATTTGCGAGCTCTAGGTTGTATCAGTCACTAAGACCCAACAGTCTTTCCATTGTAGGAATCTTGTCCTTTTTTCCCCCTCTTCTTTTGATCTTTTTAGTAGTAGTAGTAGTAGTAGTAGTAGTAGTAGTAGTAGTAGTTTGTCAGTAATAGGAAAAAAGTGTTCCTTGTTATGGCTCTCAAATTTGGGGTAAAGAGTAGAAGACAGACTGAAGCTGTATTTCACTGTTATTGAGTAACTAACTCTTCTCCCTCCCTCCCTGTCCTGTCAGTCTCCAGCCAGTGACTTGCTTGCATCAGACATCTTTGCTCCTCCCATCTCAGAACCTCCAGGCCAGACGTCACCCACAGGACAATCTGCAACCCTACAGACAAACCCTCTGGATCTCTTCAAAACAAGTACTTCTGCCCCAGTGGGGCCTCTTGTGGGTCTAGGTAGGTACCTAGAGATAGAGTTAGGTATGGCTCTGTTGTTTTCTCTTATAAAGTGACTATGTATAAGAGAAAGGCACTTTGTATCCATAGAAGGTTCCACAGGCATAAGATCTGAGCAGCCTAGGGAGCTCCTCTCCCTCTGTTACTCCTGTACAAGCCTACTCCCATTTGATACTCTTGACTTGAACTGAAATTTGGTTTCTTGAGCTGGCGATGCAAGCAATCTGTTTTCAGTATTGCACTTACCTGAACCAAGTGGGAATGGTATCCTGGAAGACGGTTGTAAGGGATTCTGAAACTCACACCACCTTCAGTGGCAAAAGGGGGTTGAGATGAGAGAGCCTCTTCCATCATATGTAGTAACATGCATGTCTTTCATGTTATTTGCCATAATAGGTCAAAGGTCTATGTTCTATCAACATTCATATCCCTCTTGGAAGGGATACATATGAAAAAGTATAAGTCGTAATGTGAACGTGCTAGGTCCTGGGCCCAGCTCTGTTCCTAGGCATAGGGTAATGGTGGGGCAGGCGTACATGCTGATCAGTCTCTGAATACTTCAGCCTTAGCAGCTCCCTGCCAATATTTTGGCCAGCTTGACTGTCATGCTAGAGCTAGAACATAAGTCCTAGAAAGCCAAAGTTGAAAAGCACACAGCCAGGCTCAGTGGCTCAGCCTGTAATCCCGCACCTTGGGAGGCTGAGGTGAATGGATTGCCTGAGCCTGCGGGTTCGAGACCCTCCTGGGCAACTTGGCGAGACCTCATCTCTACAATAAATCAAAAATCAACCGGGCATGGTAGTGCGCGCCTGTAGTTCCAGCTACTTGGAAGTCTGCAGCGGAAGGATCGCCAGTGCCCAGCAGGCGAGGCTGCGGTGGCTGGGAGTGGCCACTGCACTCCAGTCAGGGCGACAGAGTGAGACTCCAACTCAAAAAAAAAGAAAAGCACAGAGACTAGGCAAGAGACGGAATTTTATAAGATATCTAGGATGTATTGGTACTCTTATTCATAAACAGCCATTAACTCGTGTGAGCCACTAACCACTCTGTGTGAGGATGATGGGAAGGCCACTTATCTGAGGACTGGCTCTGCTATTCTTCCACAGCCTCCACTTCTTTTCAGACTCATGGTACATTTTCAGAAACTCTGACAATAGTCTTTGCTATCCTGCTGGGGACTCTCTTTATTTTATTGCTTCTTGGCATCTCTACAAACTCCAAATAGACTCTGACTTGGGAGGTAGAAGACTATAGATAAAGAAGGACTCTCCTCCCCTTTGGTAAAATTTGATCAGGGATCTTGGCTTTCTCTGCCTCCTACAGTCAATCATTAGGATCCTAATTCTCTCTCTCTCTCTCTCTCTCTCTCTCTCTCTCTCTCTCTCTCTCTGCTGTTTTCCTTCAAAGGAAAATATTTTGATTCTTTTACAAGAATCAAATCTGGAGTAGGATGGCCAGGGGGATCGTTACCTAACTGCTGAGTGACTGAAATCCATGTGGATGTGAGAAGCTAGCTTGTCCCAGGTCTTTGCTCATCTCGATTTATACCATCAAGAGACTCTCCCCAAACTCTTTGTCTCCTGGAGGCATCTTCCTTTCTGCATCACTTTCTTTCCTGCACCCCCAAGTTGAGCTGGTTGGTGCCTTACCCTTGCAGAAGAGCAGAGAACTTGCAATGCAATGTCTGCAACTAGATCACATCACAGGGCTTTGGATCTAATATCAATGCCCTGAAGAATTTTTACAGCCAATATTTAACAAGTCAGCCTGAAAATACAGCTGGACCCTATAACTGTTTATTTATTCAGACGAAGTGAAGCTTTTTGGCGAGGTGCCCCTGTGGAGGCCTTGGGGTATACAACTGCAGAATACTGATGATTCTTCCAAGTTTGGATATGGGACTCAAACTGAGCCCTACAGTATAGTCCCTGTCCACTAGCAGCAATCCTCAGCCAAACCATGGAAGGTTGTAGGTCTGGCTTCCGCTAGACCCAGCTGGGGGACTGTCTCCCCTGGAGAACTGGGGAGGTGGGGGTGGGGAGAGGGTATTGTAGGAGGCTGAGCCCTCAGCTTCTACTTGCTACCCTGTATTTTAATCTAGCTTCAGAAGGCAATAAAATTGATGTTTTATACTCATGCTCCTTTTTTTCCCTCTGTCCTCTACTTTCTCCAGGTATGCCTTAAATGTCTTGAAATACAATGTGTGGAATCTAGTGGGTGGGAGTGAAGAATTGCATAAGTATAGACTGAGAGAGCCTTGAATTCCTGGCAAATATATTTTTCTCTTTTGCAAACACCACTTTCACTAATACGATCTATGACCAAAACTATGTATTTTCCTAAGGAAAGACAAGTAGTCCATCATGAAAAATGATAAAATTCTACCAGAAGGTCTCTCTCCAACTGGTAGACATCATTAGTGAGTAATCCATCGTCTGTTAATAAAACTTAAATAGATTTGTTTTAAAATGCTTGCAATAACTTTGTTCAAACTAAATTCACTTTTAGAGCCTGTATTATAGAATCTGAGAGAAATTTACCCTTGATTTATTATGAAAGGAGTATATTCTTTAGTGCAAATGAAGTCTAATTTCTGTGTTAGTGAAATAAGTATTTGAATTTACATACTATTTTAAAATAAAAAGAGTCCTGTGCCTTGCTGCCAAGGAGGCAGAATGGGCAGATAAGGTGCTGGATTTTCTGGATTTAGAGCCAGTGTGCCTGACTCTCTAATGTCACAGACTGTTAACTTCCTAATTTTAATTAATGTTCTTGTACGCAATTTTCTCACCTCCAAAATAAGCATGTTGACAGTAAAATAGCCTTTTCTGAACCCCACTACTCTCTGTGAGTATGTGAGTACCCTATATGTATTCATGGCCAGATGGTCAGTGTCCATGATTAAAGGGTGGAGTCAAGGAGAACCAATATCCCATACTAAGATCTAAGACAGAATGTCATGCTCCATCAGCCCTAAATACCATTGTCAAAGCAAGGTATTTCTCACTCTGGAAACAAAAACATTCCTAATCAAGTTTGAAGGCCTTTTCTTAGTTGGATTAGAAAACTTTCATAACTAAAGAATGCTGAACTTAACTGGGTGTGGTGGTTCATGCTTGTAATCCCAGAGTTTTAGGAGACAAAGGTGAGAGGATTGCCTGAGCCCAAGATTTCGAGACCAGCCTGAGCAACTTGGCAAGACGTCGTCTCTACAATAAATAAAAAAATTAGCCAGGCGCGGTGATGCATGCCTAAGGTTCCAGCTACTTGGAAGGCTGAGGCGGAAGGATCGCCTGAGCCCAGCAGTGGCCAGCGGTAGTCATGAGCGTGCCACTGCACTCAGCCTGGGCAACAGAGTGAGACTCCAACTCAAAAAAAAAAAAAAAAAAATGCTGAACTCTAAGTCTCAAAGCAAGTAGATTTCAAGAGTAGAGCATCTCTCAACAATGTGAGGCTGAAATAGGTTTTGTGTTTTGTTGTTGTTGTTAGTGGTGACAGTTTAACTGAATCGTTAATACATTTGGGAAGAGGGAGGGAAGAAAAATGCCCTCAGTATTAGAACAAGATGCAGGCAATGAGCCTTTCAAGAAGAGGGCAATCATTGGAGAGACTGGGTTCTGGCGTTTTAACTAATTCATGCTGAACACGGCAGAGCTGCAGGAGATGGAGCCCTCATTCAGCACAAAATCAGATGCTCTGACACAGGCCATTAACTACCTTGGGAGATTTTTGTTTCCTATTGTCCTCTTTTCCTCCCTTTCTCTTTTAAATACTCTTTTCTAACTTCTGGCAAGGTTTAGTGAATGACACATGGCAGGAAGCACTTTTATTTGAAACAGCCCTCCCAGGATAACAGCCTTTCTTCCATTTTTATATATAAAAGTCTAAAACTATCTTGGCATCAGCCAAACTTTATCTTCCCTTTATATAGCTGTGTCAACCTTGGCAGCATTCAAAAGTGAGGAAACTTTGAACTGGTTTCTTCAGGATGCAAGCATGTTGAGGCCGTATGCACATGTGCGACCCCTGGTTTCCATAAGACTCCAGAAATGAGCCAGCTGCCGAATGAAAAGACCAAATCCATGACTCAGAAAGCCCAATGGGATTATCTTAATTAACTACTTCATAATCAGCGTGACTTGTATTTGTAAATGTATTCATTCGACAAATAAGTTCCTGTTATTGACCAGCACTGTACTAGTTGTTTAAGATATATCAGACACATCAGACGACTAATGTCTGTATGATAAAGGCTCAATTTTCCTTAACTAAGATCAACTTTTCATGACTAAGTACTTACAGACTGCATTATACTTCTAATGAGGAATGTTAAAAAGACGTGATAGAAAGAAAATGGACTCCAAGCCAGGCGGTGGCTCATGCCTGTAATCTCCATACTTTGGGAGGCAGAGGCGAGAGGATTGCCTAAATCCAGGGGTTTGAGACCAGCCTGGGCAACTTGGCAAGACCTCATCTTTACAATAAATCAAAAAATTAGCTGGGTGTGGTGGCGCATGCTTGTGGTTCCAGCTACTTGGAAGGCTGAGATGGAAGGATCACCTGAGCCCAGCAGGTCAAGGCTTTGGTGGCCATGTGCATGCCACTGCACTCCAGCCTGGGCAACAGAGTGAGACTCCTACTCAAAAAGAAAGAAAGAAGGAAGAAAGGAAGGAAGGAGGGAAGGAAGGAGGGAGGGAAGGAAGGAAGGAAATGGGCTCTAAAATGTGACCAACATTTGCATGCTTGCTGTACAGTATGCTCATGAATCTTTACAGTGATTTAATCTCTCAGAGCTTTTATCCTTCCCATGTGGGCAGGGCTGGATGGAGGTGTTTGCCATGTAGATGTTTTTAAATGCTTCCCTCACCCCTCCCCCTCCCACCCCAGAGTTGTGGTTTCTGAAATTCAAGAATACTCTCCAAGACTATCTCCTCATGGGTACTTTCTTTCTCTCCGGTCAGGTGCTGTACCAGCCACACTCCCTCAGGCAGCACCATGGAGCACAGCCTCCTTGGTCTTCAACCAGTCTTCAGTGGTTCCAGGAGCCATGATGGGGGGTCAACCTTCAGGTTTTGGTCAGCCTGTTGTTTTTGGTACAAGCCCAGCTGTTCCAGCTTGGAACCAGCCTTCATCTTTTGCAGCCTCCACTACCCCTCCAGCGCCTGCCGTTTGGGGTCCTCCTGCATCTGTGGCACCCAATGCTTGGTCAGCAACGAGCCCTTTGGGAAATCCTTTTCAGAGCAATATTTTTCCAGCTCCTGCCATGTCCACTCAGCCCCCTTCCATGCTCTCTTCTCTCCTGGCCGCTCCTCCTCAGCCACCTCCCAGAATCGGCCCTGCCAAGGACATCTCCAGTGATGCCTTCACAGCCTTAGACCCGCTTGGGGATAAAGAAGTCAAGGAAGTGAAAGAAATGTTTAAGGACTTCCAACTGCGGCAGCCTCCTGCTGTCCCTGCACGGAAGGGAGAGCAGACTCCCGCTGGGACCTCAAGTGCCTTCTCCAGTTATTTCAACAGCAAAGTTGGCATTCCTCAGGAGAACGCAGACCATGATGACTTTGATGCTAACCAACTATTGAACAAGATCAATGGTAAGCTACTCACCACTTTGCCTGCTGTACCAACAAATAATTCCATTGTCATGGCCCATTTCTAAGGACTGACCCAATGCTGCCCTCTAGTGACAGTTCTTAAAAGGGCTGCCAAGAGCTCTTGAAATGGGATGGGTGGTGGCTCGCACCCATATTCCATGGCCTTAAATGAAGACATCCTGAATCTCTTCCACTTCAGATAAACATGCATGGCTTTCTCTCCTGAGAAGGGGTAAGCTTGCTGTAGTAATTATTGGGAGTCCTAGTATTTATTTGACTGGGAATTTTGTTCCACTGATGTAAATTTTCAAAGCATGGAACTAAATGTCAAAAAGTTGACTAGAGGATTGGCCCATATTTGAGAAAAGTTTGTCTACTTATTGCTTGGATTCTTTGTTTTCTAGAACCACCAAAGCCAGCTCCCAGACAAGGTGCCCTGCCAGTTACCAAATCTGCTGACAATGCGTTTGAGAACCCTTTCTCTAAAGATTCTTTCAGTTCATCGCAAACTTCTGTAAGTATCAGCTGTTAGAAAGTACAGCCTGTAATCCCAGCACTTTGGGAAGCTGAGGCGAGTGGATTGCCTGAGGCCACAGCTTTGAGACCAGCCTGGGCAACTTGGCGAGACCTCGTCTCCACTATTAAAAAAAAAATAAAAATGAGCCGGGTGTGGTAGCGCGAGCCTGCAGTTCTGCCTACTTGGAAGGCTGAGGCGGAAAGATCGCCGGAGCCCAGCGGGACAACGCTGGGGTAGCCATGAGTGGGCCACTGCCGTCCAGCCTGGGCAACGGAGTAAGACTCCAACTCGAATAAATGAATGAATGAATGAATGTACAGGCCGCATACAGCTGCCGCCTCCTGAGTTTACCATGCGTTTATAATAACTTTCTGATGGTAAAGCATGTTTGATTAGGATTTATCATTGAGAACTTTCACAGTATATAATTCATTTAAACTGGGGAAAGATTATTTTTATAGGAACACCTATCTTCTGAATTTGAAAAATAATATCACATAGAAAACGCCTTTTGTATCTCACTGACTCGTGAAGATTTTTGGGAGAAAATCTAGCTGAAATACTATCTTTAAAATCTTTCAAATATTCAAGTTTTGTTGTTTGTTCTCTGGTTTTGCAGGGAGGGGAGTCAGAATCTCACTCTGTTGCTTTGGCCAGAGTGCAGTGGGATATTCACAGCTACCCCAGCCTCAACCTGTGAGCTCAAGCGATCCTTCCACCTCAGCTTTCCAAGTAGCTGGAACCACAGTCACATGCCACCACCCATCTTATGTTTTTTTTTGTTTTAATTATTTATCCCAGGCTTGGCGGCTAAGCCTGTAATCCCACGCCTTTGGGAGGCTGAGGTGAGTGGATTGCCTGAGCCCGCAGGTTCGAGACCCTCCTGGGCAACTTGGCGAGACCTCATCTCTACAATAAATCAAAAAAATTAGGCTGGTGTGGTAGCACGTGCCTGTAGTTCCAGCTACTTGGAAGGCTGAGGCGGAAGGATCGCCAGAGCCCAGCAGATCGAGGCCGTGGTGGCCAGGAGGGGTCACTGCACTCCAGCCTGGGCGACAGTGAGACTCCAACTCAAAAATATATATATATCTATTTATTATAGAGACAAGGTCTTGCCAAGTTGTCCAGGCTGGTCTCAAATCCCAGGGCTCAGGCAATCCTTTTGGTTCCCTCTCCCAAACTGCTGGGATAACAGGTGTGAGCCACTGTGCCCTGCTGAATATTTCAGCTCTTAATTTTCCACCAAGGGGTTCTGTAGTGTATAAAAATAATACTTCCCATTTGGGGAAGGCAAATGTGATTAATCTGAACTTTGATTTTATACATCATCATCTACAAGCAGGTGGGCACAAATCATTGTAGACCCATACAAATGTCTGCTTGGCCTGTGACCTAAGTAATTTTTAAAGGAACTTGGGAAGTCTTAATTGCAGATTTTTTTCTTATGACTATAATTATATTTATTGACTGGATGGTTTTAACTCCTTAGGTGGCTTCTCCTCAACCTGTTTCTTCTGATATATATAGGGATCCTTTTGGAAATCCTTTTGCCTAACTTCTGTAAGTAAAAGATCCTATTAAACATGGCACAGGGTATAATGGGTGAAATTTAAATTTTAGAATTGGAAAGAGGGTAAATATGTATAATTTAGGAAGAACAGACATGGAAAGCTATACTTAGGCTGAGCACTTAAGAATAGAATTCTTAAACACATCAAAAAATAGTAATGTACCCATGGAGATGTGGATTTCTGTCTTATCGTATGTTTTTGATTTTTCATTCCTGTGTGGTAGTAAAACTCAAAATAACACATAACAGCATTCTAGCCCTTTTACTTTTATAGTGAAATGATTGCAAAGCGTCCTAGCAAGAACTTGGTTTCCTATCAAAGGTTCAAATTCCAAAGACCTTCTGAAGCTGCCACACAAGTCAGTTAAAATAATGATGATCACAACTCTGGTGCCATTTATTTCTTTGTGTGCAATCTCAAAGTTCACTCTGAAATTGTCTGAATAGTATTAAATTTAGAGGTTTTAACAGCTGATAAATAGCTCATAAGCAATAGAAAATTCAAAATGAATCTGAAAATTGATGTTTCTTTGTCTAGTGGACTTTATCCTGGATAAGTTCTTAAGAATAATCACCTATGCAACCCTGTGGGGGTTCAGTATAACCCTTTCTTTCTCAGCAGCAAGTGGCAGCAGCTTTGTTCTGATCATAAGAGACTGAATTTAGTAAGGAAAAGGAGGCATATCTCCATTTTAGAGAAGGTGGGGCACAGCTGGTAGGGGTAGAACAATAGAAAAAATGAAAAAACCAGCTGGACTTGGTGGCTCAGCCTGTAATCCCAGCATTTTGGGAGGCTGAGGCAAGTGGATTGCCTGAGCTTGTGGGTTCGAGACCAACCCGGGCAACTTGGTGAGACCTCGTCTCTACAATAAATTTTTTTTTTAAATTTGCTGGGCATTGTAGTTCCAGCTATTTGGGAGGCTGAGGCAGAAGGATCACTTAAATCCAGCAGGTCAATGCTGGGGTGGCCTTGAGCATACCATTCACTCCAGCCTGGGCAATGGAGTAAGACTCCAACTCAAAAAAAAAAAAAAAAAGAGAGAGAGAGAATGAAAAACCTGCAAACATTTTACTTACTCTTGCCTCATCCAAGCAGAACTACTGTACTATGACTTGACCCATCTTGAATTTGTTTTTAAATAGATACACATCTTAAATGATAAGATTGAGTTTTTATGCATTTGGATTAATCTCCTTCCCCAGTTCTACAATTACTGTTTCTTATGGTACCTTTCCTTAAATTCTGCTTCAGAGAACTGTGTAAGTTAAAAAATGTTAATTCTTGAGCCCTATCCCAGCCCTATCCCAGTCTTTGGCACTGAGGATTAGCTTCTTTTTTAGCAAGAGTCTAATGATTCTAATAAAGCAGTGTAATAGATCTTAAGAGGTAGAAGTCTCAGCAAAGACTCATTCTCACCCTTCACTCAAGGGGAGGCATACCCAAACACATAGAAAGGAATAAACTACACTAGGAGTCAGACAGATTGTTTGTACTAAATTGAATTAACTAGATTTTGGAAGCCTTTTCTTCTTCAGGTTACGAAGGCAGGATAGTTTAGGTCAACCTGCTAAATTAGTAGATTGGGAGAACTATCATGGGAGAAAACGGCTAACATAATTATAATAAAATACATATATATAAATTATAATTATTATTCGAGTCAGAGTCTCACTCTGTCGCCCAGGCTGGAGTGCAGGGGCACATTCATGGCCCTGACAGCCTTGACCTGCTGGGCTCAGGCACTCCTTCTGCCTCTGTCTCCTGAGTAGCTGGGACTGCAGAAGCAAGCAACCATGCCCAGCTAAATTTTTAATTTATTATAGAGGCAAGGTCTCACCATCTTGCTTGCCGAAGCTGGTCTCAAACCCCTGAGCTCAGGAATTTTCTCTTGCCTCCACCTCCCAAGGTGTTGGGATTACAGGTGTGAGCCGCCACTCCCAGTCTGGCTAACCTTATTGAACATTTGTGTTTATCACTGTATTACATGTTCTACATGTATTACCTTGTTCAATCCTCACATCAACCCTAAGAAATACTGTGACTTACATTTTTAATAATGACCTGATAATCAGTACATTTATATTTACTTCAAAAATTCTTATCACAGGTTTCTTTTTCCTTCTCCATACTGCTGTAGGAACTTGGTCTGCTGACAATCCAGAGAAACAAAAAGGTTGGCCTTAGTAGTCAAGGACAAAGCTAATAGCCAGACATGTCCTGATCTCTGCCCTTGTTCCAGCTTTGACATATTATCTGTTGCGTTATTTTTTTGTTGCCTCTTTCACTTGTAAAATGCTTTTCACTTTCTGTCTAGGTTAAAGCTAAACTGAATCTATGGCTTTAAGTAAATTAAGATCCTGAACTCTCTAGCTTAAATGTAAATGAAGTACAGTAGTTTCCCTATGGAACCCTTGTCTATTGTGTCCCTAGAGTCTTCTAGAATACTCTACCTTCTACTCTTTGGATGGAAGATACAGCCCCCACAGCCCTTCGTATCATAAAGTTTTGAATAAATTTTCAAAACCTTACTGTTCAAAGTTGTTCGAGGGTTCTGTTTTGGAGCATAAAGATCATAGTGGAACAAGGCGTCTTCTTAAAATAAATTTTGCTTCAGATTGTCACTTATAGAAAATGTCTCCTTTGATACTTTATAATCTAATGCACTTAAGGACCTTTTTAAAGATATAGCTTCTCCTGTTACTGAAGATCAGTGTCTCCAAGATTGTTCTTTCTCCAATCTCTGTTGGCTGTTGCAGATAAGGAAAAAGCAATATTTATCTCTCTTCTCCTTTTCCCTCTGATTCTTTTTCCAGTCAGTTTTGCTCCTAGGTTCATATAGCATTTCCTCCCTTTCACAAGCAACAGACTTTCATGGGGCAAAAAAATATCTAATGATTCACATACCTGGAGCCTCTCTTCAGTCTCAGTAACTGGTAGCCCCAGTAGCTAAACTTGCAAATGGGCACAACATGTATCCTTCCTGTGGAAGAGGAGGCCATTCTCTTGAGCTGAAGTTCTGGAAGAGCAATTCAAGTTGAAGAGAAATTGAACTCAACTCAGCAATGAAGGACTGTATTGTGAAGAACAACACAGCTAAATGTGATTGTGCCAAACACATCAGGTGCTTAATCAGGGTCATGCTAGGCCTTTATCAAGTCATTGGAAAATTGTCTTGAAGCTGCAGTCTCATAGTAGGAAGATAAATGGGGGAGGGGAAAGCTGTAAAGCAATTATTTGGGATTATCATTGAAAACCTAATGTCTGCAGTATTTTTCTCCTCCTAACCTTGGACAGTTTCCCAGATTATTTTCTTCCTATTGTAAGCACAGTTCTGAAGAGTTTGTTCTTGCCAAAATGGGTTTTGTTTTGTTTATGTTGGGTTTCTAATGTTGTCTCTTGACCCTAATGCTCAGGTTCTTGTGGGTGTTAATCCACCACATACAATGTTCCCTTGAGGTGAAAGAAGAGGATGACTGCCCAGGATCTAAACAAGAGGGTGGCCTCATGAACCTCTATTGATTAGCCCCAAGTAGTCTAAGCTAAAATCCTGTGGTTGTACATTTAATGGTAATAGCTGATCCTATATGGCATCATTTAACGTCTGGCTTTCTACTCAGTCATTATAAACACAGACTTGAAATAGTATGTTAAATGTCCAAATACCCAAATGTGCTCAACTGGAGGTAACTATTTCTAAGTAGTTGAATTTTTGAAAGTCATGATCAGTCACACAACTGTCTGTACATACTTATTTCTTGTGCACTTTTCTGTATGCAAATAAATCTATAAATTTACTCGTTTCAATAAACTGGAATGACAGACTCTCATGTGTTACCATCAGTCTATTCTACCATTTGACCCCTACTTTGAGTTGACATTAGGGTCTAAGTTGAGCAAATGTTAGTCATAATTCATTTTCTACTGTCACAAAGATAAAGAGAAACTAGAATCTGTGAACTAGGACAATAAGTAAATTGGCATCCAGTATTTTTCAATGCCTCATTCTCCTCTCTCAGACCCGTATATCTCCCTTCCTGGAGTTTAGTGGAGTCCTGTAGATAAGACCTGCACCAGGACAACTTCAACTGACATCCACTATAAAATCATTCATTGGTGCACTCTTGGTTCATAGCTTTTACTCTTTGCTGCCTCTTGTTTTTTATTCAGTTGTATTTGACCTCACCAAGACACAACTGTATGGACTGGTCTAGGCTAGTTCAGACCACTCAGGAGATCTGCTGTATGAGGTGGAAAGGTCGATGATTAGACATTTTTAACATTAAGACACTTTTAAGCACTCCCATCTAGTATAAAAGTTCAAGGTTCTCATTCATTTCAAGACCTGCAGTTACAGAGTATCCCAGGGTGGGCCTTGCTTGGCTATAGTCCTGGTGTTAAACCCAACTTCTCTAAGGAGTAAGATAAACTTGGGAGTAGGGGTCATCTGTTGGTGTGTATTATTTTGGAAGGCTCAGTAGTATTGCCTTACCATTCCCCTTAGCTGAAACATTTGGTCTTTTTCTGATAACAGTGAGATGGAATATAAAGAAATAGACTCCACACAAAAGCAGCTTTCAGGAGAACTGAAAGTAAGCCACAGATGAGCCGGAGAAGGCTGCTGATAAGAACATGTTGCACAAATTATCTGGCTTATCCAGGTGCTCTGCAGTGTGTCTAACCTGTTGAGCCTGTGTGCTATCTTCACGTGGCTTAATCTGTAAGATCTCACCAGGGATTAACTCTTGCTCCTATGTACAAGACATTCATTTCACTGCTGCAGGAACTAATGTTGGCCAAGCACAGAGAGGTGCTTACTGATATGTCCCTGCAAAGCACCAGCAGACTTATTCCTTATACAGTCAGCCCTCCTATCAGATTCCACATCCACAGATTCAATCAATCACAGATGGAAAATAAAATAAAAACTATATAGTATAACAACTATTCACATAGCATTTATATTAGATTAGATATAAGTAATCTGGAGATATTTAAATAATATAGGAGGATGTGTGAAGTTTATATGCAAATATTGCACCTTTTTATATAAGGAACTTGATCACCCAAGGATCTTGGTACTTGCATAGGGTCCTGGATCCAGTCCCCTGCAGATACCGAGGACAACTGTAGTCTGTTTAGCAGCAGTGGTATTCACACTTGTGTGCTGGACATTCAGATTTTCGTGGTAATTCTGTTACCTTGAAAAGAGTTTTTTGTTCAGGCATCAAATATATTTAAGCTAAAAGCTGAACTTTAACAGCCAGCGTGCACCCAAATTTCTCACTTAAAAACAGTACAAGGAAGAGGCATAGATTTTCCCAAGCTAATCTTACATCTGTGAGGTGCAAAATATCTTCATTCCACTGATACCATTCACAGACATGTGAGGTGGGGTCTGTTCCTGTCGCAGCTCATGGAGAGGGTCATCCATGCTTTAAAATAACCATATTCTGCCCCAACTCTTAAGGGAGTGGTTTCCATGGGTATGTTACTATAAAACTGTGTAGCAGAGAGAGCCTTTCAACCAGTGATCTCAGACTCCGCCATTAAAATGATCATCGTGTCCAGAGAGAACCAAACAGAGGGCAATTCTGTGTCTTTCCTGTGCCGAAATCGAGGATGGGAAAGAACAGAGACATAGTGAACTCAGAAGTTTGGCTGACCCTGGAATAACCTGAGGAGTGAGGACTCTGATCCATGTTACCGGAATAGGGGATAGGTTCAATACAGTCTTCTAGTAAAAGACTTTGGCTGCTTCAAAATCCCTGGTAAATATTTAAGCTAGTGCCATTTGAGAAGATTGCTAAATAATAAAACATCTCATTCTTGCTTGGCAATGGTATGTCTTTAACTAATTCTCTTCTACCCAAATTAACAAAAACCCATGTTCTAAGTTGATGTGCCAAACGTGCACGAGCACAGGTAGTATGCCGGCAGCAGCTCTGTTAACATGTCCTAATTACAGCAATGCTGATGGACAAGAGCCAGCCATTTGGCATCTCACCTGATGAGCGGTCAAACCCCTCATTTGCCCTTGCTTCACTGAAATTGTGTACTGTAATTCATTACTAAACCCCTACCTCGTACTGAAATCCTACAAGTTCCAGTCTCCAGGGAAACCACGTTGTGGGTTATTCAGGGGCAAAGAAGCTAGTCATCTGCAGTGACCAACGATGGAGCTATTATTATACACATTAATGAAAGACAGCAGCCCAACTCAAATTCCTTGTGATCATGTTTTCCTTGAGATATTGGTTGTGGAGTTTCCTGTCAACCCTCTATCCATTTGGTTGACTTCAACCATATTATTTTATCTTACTTGTAAGAAAGAGGAATTATCCCTGTTCCAAAGGACAGAGGGTGACCTTTGGAACTGAGTAGAGGGCGTGTCTGAGGTATATCTGCTTATACAGATTGACCATCATAGAGCCTTTTGTTTTGGGACAGCTGAGACCAGAGCGACAGGCATAGGAACTAACAAAGAGGAGGGAATGGAAGGGTTGATTGGACGTTTACCTCCCACTTTCCTTATTGGCCTGAAAGATTGGTTTAGGACATTAGTGGTAAGAAGTGATAGTGGTAGAAGCTGCAGGAGAAATATTTTTTGATGAAAGACCCTGTGCTTAAGCAAGCAGTTCACATTCTACATATCTATTAGGAATGAGTCAACTACTAGTAACAGACAGTCTCACGGTGGCAAAAATTAGTAAGTGTCTTAGATCAGGCTGCTATAACAAGAACACCATAGATTGGGTGATTTAAACAGCAAACATTTCTTTCTCACAGTTCTAGAGTCTGAGAAGTCTAAGATCAAGGCATTGGCAGATCCTGTATCTGGGAAAGTTCCTCTTCCTGGTTTGCAGACAATTATTTTCTCCTTGTGTCCTCACGTGGTGAAGAAAGAAAGCTTTTGTCTCTTTCTCTTCTTATAAAGGCACTAATCACATAACAGGGTCTCCCTCATGGTTTCATCTAACCTTAATTGCCTCTCAAAGGCCCCACTTCTAATACCATCCTACTTGGAGTAGGATTTCAACATATAGACTTGAAATCCATAGGAAGACACAAACATATAGTCCATAGCAGTAGGGATATATTTTTTCTCACAAAAAAAAATTTAGTTTGATGGCTGCTGGTGTTGTCTCAGAAGCTCAACAAGACCCTCAGAAACATAGACACTTTCTTAACTTTTCACTCTGTCTGGTAGCCTTTGGCTTTCTGTTCTTATGCTTATTACCTAACAGTCACAAAGTGGCTGCTTAGCTTCAAATATGACGTTATTGCTCAAGGTGGGTAGAAAGGAAAAAGGTAGCACAACCCATGTTCGCTCCAGCATTTCAGTTTTTTCCAGGGATTCCCAGTAGACTTCAGCCATGTCTCATCAGCAAGAAGTAGGTCACACAGCCAATGCTAGATGCAAGAAAGGCTGAGAAATCAAGCTTTTAGCTTTAGCAACTTCTATAGTGAAGGTAGTTAATAAAGAGGCAGGGCCAACTACATAAGTTGCAGGGCTCAGGACAAAATTAAA